CGAAATTATGCTCTCGCGAATTTTGATGTGTCAGCGATATTTACGAATCGGCGATTTTGCCGACTTTGACTCCCATTTTAGGCCAATTACATTATTCCAATCAACCAAATTCTTAGCTATTTCACTAGTATTACTTCTATTCTATCGATTGAGCACAAGAAATCGCCAAGTCAACTGTTTCAACTACAAAATAAAGTGATCGGAAATTGTTAATTTGGCCAATTTAACACAAAGTTCAAAATATTCCAATTTCAAAATAGGGTCCAGAATGAACAATGTAGGCATTCCTGGCACTAAACTAACATTTTCCTCTGTTCATTAGTTATGTTTTGAGGCTTTACAAATAAATTCCATTTTGATTTTTTATTCACATAATAATTTTTATTCACACCAAAAAATAGAAGATTTACTGTTATGCAATACTGTAATAATTGTATAAATATCATCACCATATTTTTGAATGTATATTAGACCCACCAGCTGACGTGTATTAGACGTGTGAGGTCGTTTGTTTACTCTTGAATATCGGCAAAAAATTAACATTTCTGCTACTTTGAGCTCAGTTTCAAGCCATTTCCAGTGCTAAAACCAATCAAAATCATCTCTATTTCTGTAATATGTCTTCCATTCTATCAAATGAGACCAAGAAATCGCAAATACAACTATAAAAAACATACGAAAAAACACTGCAAAGTTGCTGTTTTAATCAAAAAATCATGATTTCATTTTTTTTCTCTCATTATACACAGTGTGCTGCAGGATCTGTTTTATGTGGTGCACACATACCACATAGATGTATTCTCTCATATCTAGGCCCAAATGTACCACTCACAGTTTATCAGAGTGAGCTGAGCTCATGACGTAGATCTACGGTTTGGACCCTGAACGTAAAGCCGTAGATCTACGGGACGGACCCTGAAAGGGTTAACACAAAGTTCAAAATATTCCTGTTTCAAAATAGGGTCCAGAATGAACAATACAGGCATTCCTGGCACTAAACTAACATTTGCTCTGTTCATTAATTATGTTTTTAGGCTTTACAAATGAATTTCATCTTGATTTTTTATTCACAATGAATTTTTATTCAAACCAAGAAATAGAAGATTTACTGTTATGCAATATTATAATAATTGTATAAATATCATCACCACATTTGTGAATGTATTCTAGATCCACCAGCAGGCATGTATTACACATGTGAGGTCATTTGTTTACTCTTGAACATCAGCAAAAATTTAACATTTCCGCTACTTTGAGCTCAGTTTCAAGCCATTTCCACTACTAAAACCAATCAAAATCATCTCTATTTCTGTAATATACCTTCCATTCTATCAAATGAGACCAAGAAATCGCAAATACAACTATAAAAAACATATGATAAAACACTACAAAGAGTCTTATTTAATCGAAAATTACGGTCTCAGTTTTTTTCTCTCATTATGCACTGTGTGCTGCAGGATTTGTTTTATGTGGTGCACACATACCACATAAATATATTTTCTCATATCTAGGCCCAAATTTACTGCTCACAGCTTATCAGAGTGAGCTGAGCTCATGGCGTAGATCTACAGTTTGGACTCTCAACGTAAAGCCGTAGATCTACAGCACGGACCCTGAAAGGGTTAAATCTGTGATTCTTGATCACCCTCTTTTCAAATAAATGTGAGCTCTATACAGTAGGGCCCCACTTAAAGGGCAGGTTAGGTTGCAGGCTACTGCCATAGAGCGGAAATCGCCTTAAAGTGGAACACCCCTTTTTTTCCACTTATAAATGCATGTAAGTGCTAGATAACAAGTTTACACTAACATATATTAAGTTTGCAATAGAATTAGGCATTAAAACATACAGTAAAAAGTAAAATACACACACAGTACATTTATTACTTACCATAAAATATTAAGATGAATTTGTGAGAGGTGAGTGGCATTGTATGTATTGAATAAAATCAGGAGATGGCACACCATCATTCTCTGATTCTTCAACTAATTTTATTCGTTTTGGAGACTTGGATGGTGGGCAATCACTCGGTCAGGCGAAATAAACACGTATTAACCCTTTGACTGTCGCGGCCGTATATATACGTTTGTGAGGTACCGTGTTTGACGTATATATACTCATAAATTCTAGCGGCTTCAAATCAGGCAGGAGAAAGCTAGTAGGCCCACATGTGAGAGAATGGGTCTGTGTGGTCAGTGTGCACCACATAAAAAAAATCCTGGAGCACGCAGTGCATAATGAGAAAAAAAAAACTCCGACCGTTTTTTTTAATTAAAATGCCGACTTTGTGGTCTATTTTCGTATAGTATTTGTGGTTGTATTCTCGTTTTCATGGTCTCATTTGATAAAATGGAAACTATATTATAGAAATGGAGGTGATTTTGATTAATTTTACTATAAAAAGAACCTGGAAATGGAGCACAAAGTACAGGAAATGTTTGATTTTTGCCGATGTTCAAAAGTAAACAAATGATGTCATTGTCCAATAAATGTCCAAATAGCCATTCTAATACGCAGTCATGAATGGGTTGATGTAATTTTTACAATTATTACAGTATTGCAGTAGTCTGCATAACAGTAAATCTTCTATTTTTTGTTTGAATAAAATTTCAAAATAAAAAGCAAGAGTAATATCACAGGGACCTGGAGACATGACTGATGAACAAAGAAAATCTTATTTTAGAGCCAGGAATGTCTGCATTGTTCATTCTGGACCTTATTTTGAAATTGTCGTATTTTTTAATTTTCGTGAAATTGGCCAAATTGCAAATTTCTGACCATGTTATTGGGTAGTTGAAATCGGTAAATGGGCAGTTTCTTGTGCTCAATCGATAGAAAAAATAGAGTTCTGAAGAAATAGTTATGAGTTTGGTTGACTGGAATAACGGAATTAGCCGAAAATAGGGCTCAAAGTGGGCGAAATTGCCGATTTTTAAATATCGCCGAAGTCGCTAACTTCGCGAGAGCGTAATTCCGTCAGTTTTCCATCAAATTTCGTTTTTTTGGTGTCTTTACAATCGGGAAAAGATTCTCTATCATTTCATAAGAAAAAATAATTTTTTTTTTTCGAATATTTTGCGACACCAGGAGCAACTTCAGGATTGGGCCCTTCGACAGTCAAAGGGTTAATACGTGTCCAATTTTAGTTCATCCACGTACGTTTGTAAGAGTTGTGAAACTTTTACCTCACAATATTTTTTTTATTATAATAATTACCTCACAATACAAATGCTCTTACATTGTGTACAAGTTGTATAAATTAATACAGAATAATAAATAAACAGCAACACTCCCATTCTCTTGCAACATATCTTTTTTAGTGAATGATATTATTATTATTATTATTATTATTATTATTATTATTATTATTATTATTATAATCATAAAAAAGAAGTGCCAAACCCACAAGGGTGGTGATTAGATATAGATAGCGTGAAGGCATATGAAGGGAATATTTTTCTACAGGTATCCCTCAGTAACTGGTGTTGGACTAGAGAAAACGTAATTCTTCCAACTCTCCTAAAAGCCGCTTGGTAAACACATCTCATATTTGTCAGTTTTTATACTGTGGGTGTGTGTGTCATGTTTATATGTTATGTAACATGTTTCTTATATATTTTTTTAAAAAGTTTCATATATGGATTAATGGAAATGTCTATGTTAACGTAATATACGACATTTAATGTGCCCAAAAGTTTATTATTATTATTATTAATATGGCGTCTTCAAGAGTAGAGACTTTTAGTGATTTTAATGTGTACCTGCATGCCAGCACAGTGTGTAAGCATATTTGAGTACAGGTACACATAAGTATAATTATCAAAGTACATATAAAATATGCAATAACTTTAAAACATTTGAAATTTTGGAAAGTTTCCAGACACAATGGAGAGTCGTGTTCACAGAGAATGTAAACAAACTGGGTGGGGCGTGGTGACCATATTAGAAAGATAGGTGGGGGGAAGTCGTATAGCGAGTTTTGGTCATAATTTTAAATGTCTATATTAGTGGAACGTAAAGTGGGGCCCTACTGTATATGTATATAATGATGAATAAACAAAAATGGACAGGAGGCTCTAACCGTGGTCCTAATAATGACAGTTTCAGAGTCCAAGACCACAGTTTGAGCCTCCTGTCCATCTTTATTTATTCATTGGCAGTCATTTATTATGACTTAATCTGAGTGCATATATAGTGATGATACACAAAGTATGCATGCATTTGATTAAACTCTAACAGAGGAAAAAATTATATTAATAATTCAATCTTAACAAGAAGTCAGTATAAAATCTATGGTTCTTGATCAGTCTCTACCAAACAAATATGAGCTCTCAATGCTTTCATTAAATAAGCATACATAAAACCAGCAAGCATGCGTGAGCGTGTTAGATAGAAGGGAATGGAGATGAATGGTATTTGGGACCTGACGAACTGTTGGAGTGTGAGAAGGGTAACATTTAGTGAAGGGATTCAGGGAAACCGGTTATTTTATATAGCTGGACTTGAGTCCTGGAAATGGGAAGTACAATGCCTGCACTTTAAAGGAGGGGTTTGAGATATTGGCCATTTGGAGGGATATGTTATGTATCTTTATACATATATGCTTCTAAACTGTTGTGTTCTGAACACCTCTGCAAAAACATTGATTATGTGTGAGTGAGGTGAAAGTGTTGAATGATGATGAAAGTATTTTCTTTTTGGGGGTTTTCTTTCTTTTTTGGGTCACCCTACCTCGATGGGAGATGGCGAACTTGTTAAAAAAAAAAACACAAAACATGAAAGCATTTAAGTAAAAAACTGAGAAGAAATTTTTTTATTATTCAGCTATCAAAGCTGAACTGATGGGAGAAAAAAAAATGATAGTCACTGCAATAGGTGGTGAACTTTTTGGATTGACAAGTGGAAATTAGATACAAAAAATTAATTTTGAAAAGCTGGAAATACAGTAGGCGAAGGCACAGTGGTAGTGGTCTACTTTAATAAACTTTGATCTTTTCTTTAGGGAGTCTCAGTTGAAGCCGTAGATCCAGTTTTCCAAGCCAAAATGCTGGACATGTTGAAACAAGTTGGGCGACCAGAGATGGTAGTCGGGTGGTACCACTCTCACCCTGGCTTTGGTTGCTGGCTTTCAGGTGTTGATATAAATACACAGCAGAGTTTTGAGGCCCTGTCAGAGCGTGCTGTGGCTGTTGTGGTCGATCCTATCCAATCTGTTAAAGGTAACTCTGTATGTGTTTTCTTTATACTAGATTTTTTGAAAAAATGGTGGCTATGTATATGTATGTATCAACTTACATAGTTGTAATTACTTTCTGTAGAAATTATGTTTACAGTATAGAGTGCTCATCATCAAAGTATACTGGGTGGAGGTGCCTGCCATGTTTTGTTGTTGAAATAATACATGACCCTGTTCAGCATGTCAGTGCAACACAAATATAATGATGGCCCGGCCACACGTAATGGGACATTACATGATTCCCTAAGGCTGTATGCTCAGTGCCTTCTAGGCTTGTGTGTGTCTGTGTGTCTGTGGTCTCCCTGTGCCTTGTTCTGAAGGCTGGGTTTGTTGGATATTTCTGTCCATAGACAAATTAATATGCACAAGAAAAAGTCACTGAAACAAGACAATTGCACAAAACAATGGATTACATAAGGCAGGTGATCAAACAAAGGAAATAGAAGCTATCAGTGAGTGTGAGTATTCAATAGGGAACTGGGTGCATTGGTTATGTAACAGCAGTGATTACATACACACACCATGTGTATGTTCAAGGAACACTAGACAAACGTCCCCATGTACATTTGTGCTGTAATACAGTATTGCAATCAGTGTATGTGGGGACGTTTGTCTAGGCTTCCCTGGATGTGCTCATGATGTGGGCATGTTATTACCATGATCATCACATAATCAGTGTACCCAGTTCCTTGAATGCTCACACCCACATTGATGGCTTCTACTATTTCTTTCATTTCATGGCCTGCTTATTGTAATGTAATGATCTGTGCATTTGCTTTATGTCAGCTACTCATTCTTGCCCATATTAATTTGTCTGTAGCCAAAAATGTCTGACAAACTCATCACACAAGACCACATGATGCAGGGAGCCCACAAACACAACTGTCCACCACACAAGCTATCCTGTAATGAGCATGCAGCCATCCTGTAATGTTCCACTGTGCATTGCCAGGCTGGCATTAATTTTTGCACCAAAATATCTAACAGGGTTGGATATTTCAACAGTATACCTGGTGCCTGCATCCAATGTACTTATTAAATGATGAGCATTGTAAGGGTTTGAATGTGTATCATATGTGATACACATTCAAGTAATCAATCTACAGAAAAGATATGAACTTGTTTAATTTTAAAAGGTCTTTGATAAAACTCAGATGGAATGTTTGTGGGATATTCTTAAGTAATCATGACATTAGAAGGAAGTAGTTGAGGGTAATTATTAAATTAGTTGCTGGGAGCAATGGGCTAGTAACCTTCTGTATAAATTAGTAAAAAAATAAGAAAAAAGTTTATGAAGCTAGGATGTTTGAATGTGCATGGATGTAGTGCACATGATAAGCGAGAAATGATTGCCAGTGTTGTGAATGAAAAGAAGTTGGATGTCCTAGCTCTAAGCAAAACAGTGCTGAATGGGGTAGGGGAGTTTCAGTGGGGAAAATAAAAGGGATTAGGTCAGGAGTATCTGAGAAAGTTAGAGCTAAGGAAAGAGTAGTAATAATGTTGACAGATCAATTATGGAAGGAGAAGAGGAAGTATAAATATAAATTCAAGACTTGTGGATTAAAATAAGGGTTGTATGCAATAAGTGAGTTATAATAAGTGTTTATGCACCTGGAGAAAAGAGGGGTGTAGAGGAGAGAGAGATTTTTGGAGATGTTAAATGAGTGTTTAGGATGCTTTGAACCAAATGAGTGATAGTGGTAAGAGATCTGAATGCTAAAGTGGGTGAAATGGTTATAGTGTGTGTGTGTGTGGTAGGTAAGTTTGGGGTGCCAGGTGTATATGATAATGGCGGGCCTTTGAACTTTGTATAGAAAAAAAAAGTTTGGTAATAGGTCATACATATTTTAAGAAAAAAAAATGGATAAATAAGTACATATACAAGATATAGGGCAAAATGATAGCAGTTTTAAACTATGTATTGGTAGATAAAAGACCGGTAGACTTCAGGATGTGCATGTTTATAGAGGTGGGCAACAGTTATATCAGATCATTTATTTGTTGTGGAAGCAAAGAGGGGAATGTATGAGGGTATAGTTATACCATTGTTCTTATATGGGTGTGGAGCATGGTTGGTGAGTGTTACAAGAAGGCTGGAGGCAGTGGAGATGTTGCTTGAGGGCAATGCATGGTGTGAATATAATGCAGAGAATTTGTAGTTTGGAAATTAGGAGGAGGTGCTGGGTTACTAAAAGTATTTTAAGACGGCTGAGGAGGGGTTGTTAAGGTGGTCTAGTAGTAGTGGTCTATGAAAGGTTGGAGGGAGGGGGTAAAGGAGGTTTTATGACAGTGAATAATGATGAAAGGGTTGTTTCTTCTTTTACAGATCACCTTGCCTTGCTGGGGTATGGCAGATGTGTAATAAAAAAAAGTTATATGGAGATGTATGATTTAGTAATTTAGTAAGATTAATATAATTAATATTAATGGTAATGTTATTCATAATGAATGTTAATGCACTGATAATTTATTAGATTCTGCCTCTTGCTCTATCTTCATAATTAGGTAAAGTGGTAATTGATGCCTTCAGACTGATCAACCCTAACATGATGGTTCTGGGACAAGAACCAAGACAGACTACTTCTAACCTGGGTCATTTACAGAAACCTTCTATTCAGGTGAAGTAGATATATTGTGTGTCTTGTTAACTAAGTTTGATTCTGCAAGTAGAGGCTCGATAAGTTAAGTTGAGAGAACATATATGCTGTAACTGCTTCCAAGTTTAAACTTTTATATGTCAAACTAAACACTATAAACAGGATACCACAAGCATAGTTCTGCTTGGTTAGCCCTTTAAGGAAGGTACCCTGTTTGTAAAGGCTTCATCTAAGGAATTGGATGATGATAATCTTTCATTTCCTATGTGCTATATCACTCCTATGGGTTTAGTGGCTTCCACCACAAACTACATATTAGGAACCAATTAGAAGAAGGTGTGAGGTTACTAAAAGTATTACTGAAGAGGGCTGAAGAGGAGTTGGTGAGGTGGTTTGGTCATTAAGAGAGGATGGAGCAAAATAGGATGACTTGGAGGGGATATAAATATGTAGTGGAAGGTAGGAGGAGTAGGGGTTGTCCTAGGAAAGATTGGAGGGAGGGGGTAAAGAAGGTTTTCTATGTGAGGAGCTTAGACATCCAGCAAGTGTGTATGAGCATGCTAGATAGGAGTGAATGGAAGCAAGTGTGGTTTTTATGACTTGGTGTAATGATGGAGTGTGAGCAAGGTAACATTTATGAAGGGAAATACAGTGCCTGCACTCTGCTGGAGAGTGGGGATATTTTGCAAATTTGAACTGTAGTATTTGCTTGCCTCTGGCAAGATGGTGATGGAGTGAGTGACGGTGAAAGTGTTTCTTCTTTTTTGGGTCACCCTGCCTCAGTAGGAGACAGCTGATTCACCAAAAATTCCTTACCTAAGTACAAGCTTTTGGTGAATTGTTCCAGCCTTCATATTGTGACTTTTATTCTTTAGGAAATCTTTTTCAGTTCTCTCATGTTCTTTTTATAATCACAAATGTAGATATTTTTTTTAGCACACCGGCCATCTCTCACCGAGGTAGGGGGAGTTGAAAAAAAAGAAATACTTTCGGAATCATTCATTTTCTCACTGTCTTCTCCAAGTTGTGCTGATATCCCCACACCTTTAGAGTGAAGTCACTGTACTTCTCATCTCTAGGACTCGTATCTGGCTAACCAGTTTCTCTGAATTCGTTCATAAAATGTTACCTTGCTTGCAATCGAACATCACTTGCAATCATAAACACTACTTGCCTCTACTCACTCCTATCTATCATGCTCACACATGCCTGTTGGATGTCCAAGCCCTTCACACACAAAGCCTTTACCTCCCTCCCCCCTTTGTCCAACTTTTCCTAGGATGACTCCTACCCTGCCCTCCATTTCGGATGTACACTCCTAGTCATCATATATTGCTCCATCCTCTATGGATGTCCAAACCACATTAACAACCCCTCCCTCAGCTCTTTGAATAATACTCTTAAGAGCCCCGTGCCTCCTCCTAATCTTCATATTACGAATTCTCTGCATAATATTCACACCACACGTTGCCCCTAGACACAACATTTCCACTGCCTCCTTTTTCTTTTATCGCCCCAAGTAGGAGTTCCAGTTGGCTTCAGCCTTTTTGAGAGATACCTGTGGGGGTCTTTGACATTTGTAGCATTTTAGCAAAGAAATCATTGCAAATTATACTTATGTATTAGATTGACAAAATAAATTGTAGAAAATTTAGGTACGGGAAAACAAATAACTTCCTGTTTATCTTCATTCTTTTAAAATATTTAATATATGTGAGAGGAAGTTACTTGCATGGAGATAACAGCTGGGAAGAATGGGTGTCTGTAAATATGTAGAGAGATTCTTCTAATTATTTTTGTCTCCATGTAAATTTATGGGTTAATTCCTCTCATTGACCACATGTTTCATCTCACTTCTTTGTATCACCATTAGTACCATTTATATTGTAGTCAGAGAAACTAAGTCAATACACAAATAACCGCACACATAAAAGACAGAAGCTTCGCGACGTTTCGGTCCGACTTGGACCATTGACGGGTTGTGACTTTGTCAATGGTCCAGTCGGACCGAAACGTCGTCGTAAGCATTCTGTTCTTTTATGTGCGGGTTATTTGTGTATTCGTTCCAGTCACGGTATTGTGCCTTTTTTTTATTTATAAAATAGTTCAACTTTGTTTCTCACATTCTCTTTCAGGCATTGATTCTGGACTCAATCGGCACCTATTATTCAATCCCAATTAAGTATGCATGATGAAGGTATGTTGGCCGTTCATTTTCGCCTGTTTTGTTTAAAGAGCGCCAGTATAGTGTATCAATGAACACACTTTATTCATTGCTTGTCTCTCGCCACTTGACATCTTTCAATATAATATCAGCTACATAAAATTATTAGCTATGTATCTTTCTGTTTTTATAACACCTTGATGACAACCTTGCTACTCATGCCCATAGTAATTTCATTGCAGCCTGCAGGATAAATTTATTGCACACTGCAAGACAATTTTTCCACAATCCTGCTTGATAATCTTTATACAGTGCTTGATAACTTTACTACAAGTGCTGGATAACTTTAATACAGTGCTTGATAACTTTACTACAGTGCTTGATAACTTTTACTATAGTGCTTGATTACTACAGTGTTGATAATTTACTACAGTGCTTGATAACTTTACTACAGTGCTTGATAACTTTACTACAGGCTGATTACTACAGTGCTTGATAACTTTTACTTACAGTGACTTGATAACTTTACTACCGGCTTGATAACTTTATACAGGCTTGATAACTTTACTACAGTGCTTGATTACTACAGTGCTTGATTACTACAGTGCTTGTTAACTTTACTACAGTGCTTGATACTTTACTACATTGCTTGATAAACTTTACTACAGTGCTTGATAACTTCGCTACAGTGCTTGGTAACTTTTACTACAGTGCTGATAACTTTACTACAGTGCTTGATATCTTTACTACAGTGCTTGGATAACTTTACTACAGTGCTCTGATAACTTACTACAGGTGCTTTGTTAACTTTACTACAGTGCTTGATAACTGTACTACAGTGCTTGGATACTGTACTACAGTGCTGATACTTTACTACAGTGTTGATAACTTCACTACAGTGCTTGATAACTTCCTACAGTGCTGATAACTTTTACTACTGACTGCTTGATTACTACAGTGCTTGATTACTTTACTCCAGTGCTTGATAACTTTACTACAGTGCTTGATATAAACTTTACTTACAGTTGCTTGATAACTTTGTACAGAATGCTTGATAACTTTACTACAGTGCTTGAAAACTTCACTACAGTGCTTGATAACTTCACTTACAGTGCTTGTAACTTACTTACAGTGCTTGATTATACAGTGCTTGATATCTTTACTACAGTGCTTGATAACTTTACTTCTGTGCTGATAACTTTACTACAGTGCTTGATTAACTTCACTACAGTGCTTGATAACTTTACTTCAGTGCTTGATAACTTCACTTACAGTGCTTGTTAACTTTACTACAGTGCTTGATAACATCACTTACAGTGCTTGATAACTTTTACTACAGTGCTTGATTCTACAGTGCTGAATAACTTCCATACAGTGCTTGATAACTTTACTACAGTGCTTGATTACTACGTGCTTGATAACTTCACTACAGTGCTGATAGCTTTACTACAGAGCTTGATAACTTCACTACAGCTGCTTGATAACTTTACTACAGTGCTTGATTACTACAGTGCTTGATAAACTTCACTACATGCTTGATAACTTTATACAGTGTGATTACTACAAGTTGCTTGATAACGTTACTACCAGTGCTTGATTTACTACAGTGCTTGATAACTTTACTACAGTGCTGAAACTTTACTACAGTGATTGTTACTACAGTGCTCTTGATGGACTACAGTGCTTGATAAACCTTTACTACAGTGTCTTGATAACTTTACTTCTGTGCTTGATATTATACAAGTGCTAATAACTTTACTACAGTGCTTGAAAACTTTATACAGGGCTTGATAACCTTCACTACAGTGCTTGGATAACTTTAATACAGTGATTGATTACTTCAGTGCTTGATAACTTTACTCATTGATTGATAAACTTCACTACAGTGCTTGATAACTTCACTACAGTGCTGATAACTTTACTTACCAGTGCTTGATAACTTCACTACAGTGCTTGATAACTTTACTACAGTGCTTGATAACTTTACTACAGTGCTTGATTACTACAGTGCTTGATAATTTCACTACAGTGCTTGATAACTTTACTACAGTGCTTGATAACTTTACTACAGTGCTTGATTACTACAGTGTTGATAACTTCACTTACAGGCTTGATACTTTTACTACAGTGCTTTATAACTTGTAATACAGGCTTGATAACTTTACTACAGTGCTTGATAACTTCACTACAGTGCTTGATAACTTTACTACAGTGCTTAATAACTTTACTACAGTGCTTGATAACTTTACTACAGTGCTTGATAACTTTACTACAGTGCTTGATAACTTCACTACAGTGCTAATTAACTTTACTACTAGTTGCTTCATAACTTTCCACTACGTGCTTGATAAACTTCACCTACACTACTTGATAACTTTACTACCAGTGCTTGATAACTTTACTACACTACTTGATAACTTACTACACTACTTGATAACTTACTACACTACTTGATAACTTACTACACTACTTGATAACTTACTACACTACTTGATAACATCACTACACTACTTGATGGAAATATAAACACATATGCAGTATAATGTGATCCTTTATTGACAACGTTTCACCCACACAGTGTGCTTTTTCAAGTCACACACAGATCTGATAACTTACTACACTACTTGATAACTTACTACACTACTTGATAACTTACTACACAACTTGATAACATCACTACACTACTTGATAACTTACTACACTACTTGATAACTTACTACACAACTTGATAACATCACTACACGACTTGATAACTTACTACACTACTTGATAACTTACTACACTACTTGATAACTTACTACACTACTTGATAACATCACTACTCTACTTGATAACATGTCCCTCCCCCCCCGTGATA